AAATCTGCTGTGCTCACCCACCCTTTCATAAAACCCATACACTTGGGAAATTAATTGAAAACATACCGAACCACATCCTATAAACCTTGTCTTCTCCAATTCTTATGTTCCTCATGCTCATCGTTGTTTGGAGGAAGAGCCACAACCCGACACACTACGTCTATGTTTGCCCACATCATCCGCAAGGTACCAACGACCTAAGGATACGCTTTGCACCGATTTCTGTTAGGATGTGGAAATTGAGGGTAACAGTCTCCAGGTAGCACCAGAGGAAGCATTTCAAGCTTGTCAATCTTCGAGCAGCTCCATTTTTGTTCCACAAATCCTAATCGCCTATATCCAAATATACTACTTCCAGAAACTTTGATGGGTTGAGTATAATACCCTTCGAAAATGGAACAAGTGACCGGAATTCAATTAGCAGACGACGCCCAGATAATCGCCAATGCATCGTGACTACGAATTCTTCACGTTAAATGGTCCAATAATCAATTATTAAGTCTGCATCCGACGCTGAACTGTAGCGCAACAGAACCCACTCCATAAGATAGAGCTACTACACCCAATTGAAAATACACTTGCTAAACCAACTGACGAATCTTTGTTTAATAATGCTTAAAATTGGTGTCCTATGTACAGTTCAAGTGCGTTGGAGACAGCAACTCCTCATCCTCAGCTGTGATATTCCAGAGATCATAACGTCTTCCCACCGACAACTTGAAATTGGGACGCTATCTTTGTAAACAAATGCAATGGATCATTATGCCATACATAGTACCGACACCACCGCTTGCCATTAGTGACAACTGTGTTGCTGAATAATAATATACCGAGTTAAACTTTCCTGCCGTCAGCATTCGCTCCGTTTCATCATATTCAGCATATAAAACTTTATAATGAATGTGAAGAGACGGCAAGAAGATTTAAGAATCTGGTACTTTGAGAATTCAATATTAGACGGATTTAAGGATCGGTAAAAGCGTTTAATCAGAATGAAACACAGTCTTTCGTAGTGCATGCATGAAATATCTCTTCTTGAATCTATGTACCTACGAGATCAAATTCAGAGAAAGTGAACAAAATAAATCTTTGGTATTGGTTTCGTATAAGACAGGAGCCGCCACTGGAGGAGATTTCCCTGTATGATGCAATAAATACAACCCCGTTTTAAACCACTTATAGAATTAATAAACTCATAGTGGAAACCAGCTGTAGAATCAATAAATTGTACCGTATCCACTGTCTGTAATAAGCAGAATTCTCCAAACGGGGATATAAGTTTGTATTTGTTCAAGTTCCTTCTTTTTTACAATGTACGCATCATGCATGTCTTGTGATTTGTAGTGTTGGGTCTTCGTAACAGACGACAAATCGAAGAAGTGTACACGAGCCTCGCATTTCTTCATCAACAATCTTTTGTGTAAAAGAAAGTTTAGCAAATATTTTGTGATATTCAGAAAAACCACAGCTTTCACCTCAAGTGGTTCTCTTCTTTGAGCAAGAAATTTAAGGGAAGGAGAGTAGGTTCTAGAAGTTGTAAAACGTCTACAGTAATTCTCATCACCCCAATGTCAACGAACTTGCAGAGAAGCATTCCCGATCTGAACCACGATACCTTCACCTCATAGAAAACCATGCACTGTTGAGCATAACAAGTACATCAGGCCAATTTCGAAGGTTATCGACGTACATTCGGTGGACTTTTCGTCAGTGCTCATTAAGTAAGACAGTAGATAATATGCAATCAAACACATGTATTGAAAAATATGCTATTAGGAGAGAATTGGAGGGCGGAACATTTAACCAGGTGAGTTGGCCGATACAACAGTGGTCGCGTAGAGAATCGAACAGAACACAGACTTCCAGTCAGGGAGATCTTCAGCAAATTTGCAAAGAAACTCGGTATAGTTCCGAGTAAAAATTTTGTCATGATAATATCTATACTCCGACAATCTTCAGTTTTATCCAAATCTTGGTTTACGATTAGGATTTTATGATTTAAACTGAAACATTCGCACAGCCTATTCATTCCATTATTTTCACTTTCTGACTAATATATAACGCTAATTTAAGAAGAGCTAAAATCGAATGCCATGGAACTTCCAAAACAAAGTTTTAAAATAATACGCTTCATAATTGAGCCTGTTCAATTTCGTGTCACATGGGTCCGATCAAAGCTGATTATTCTGTGCTTTCAGAAACTGGAATGACAACATATTTAGGCGAAACACACTACAAGCATCTGGTTCGCACATTTCCTTTCATTTCTGAGCCAATTACAAGGATCTATACTGACAATAAATTGCCCTAAATGCTTTTGAGATATCATAGACCAACACATGTTCCGCCAATGAATATCTTTTCAGATCTTCTTTTCAATCAGCATTTCGACTGTGCTCTCGATTCATGCATAAATGCAGGGGGACGCTTTTAAAGAAAAACTTCGCGGCCGAAGTGTGATGACAAGAGACATGATGTTTTTATCACGCTACTTATCCACTCCCAACGGCTCACTTTTGAGCGGTTTCGCCCTCTTCAGTCTATAAAGCTCAAATTGGCACGCAACTTACTCACTCTGACACTTTCCGCACTCGAGCAGACACAACGCAAATTTTCAATCGCATGGCAAACAGCTTCGTTTATACACTCACCGATTTGCTCCTCAATGTCTTCTACTTACTGTTGGAAAGCTGATGTGCGAGAAAACTCAACGATCATCGTGATAAACAACATGATTCTCGCTGTTTCCATAACAGCGCTTGCTTGCTATTAGAACTGGGTCGAAGTTCCTCACAAGCACAACCTAGTTACAAAGAAACCTTGTGCCCATCTCACGAATACTCAGGCGTTCCTGCATCGTGTACATAGTGTCCACCCGAAAAACGCGTATATTATGGAGTGCTTCAGCGTTGCAACACTTTATACGAACGTGTCGAACGACCCCGTTATCCAAGTCATTCTCGAACACTCTTTATGCCAAACGAAGGAGCAGTAAACAGCGCGTTTCTCGATTCAGCAGCTGATGGCTCTTTTGAAGAAATGCCTAAAATGTTCGATGTTCACGTGGTTCGGAAAATATTACACACAAATGGAAGGTTAACATTGGGACGACGTCCACTTCCAAGTCATTTCACTGCGTTCACACGTTCAAAGTTGAGGCGGCTCTACTCGACACTACTGTAAGTACATTAATAACAGTTTTTGACATCTGCTCAACAAAATAGACGTAGAAATGTTTTCGATTCTAAACCAAAAGTCACAGTACATGAACTTCACCTGAGATAAACCGATGAAAGACTGGCTTGTTGTCGACCATTCAAATGAACTATCAAAAAAAAAAACGGTTCCGTCACCAAGTGGTACCAAAGGCCAACTAACAAAAACGTATCGATTCATCATCTCCCCTCTGATTCTTTACACACAACAAGGGCAGTTATGGGAAACATGTTTTAGTTACCCAGCAGTTTGTGCTCAAGAAGAAAGCAGAGGGAAGAGATCGCTGAACTTAACACGGAAATTAACCATTTCCAATGGCTACGAATTGGTAACTGGTCAGAATAGGTCTAGAGGAAGAAAGGCGCCTCAAATGGGAATTCTTGAAGGAACAAAGCCCCATCTAAATTACCCTTCATTTCTGACATAATAAGCACAGTTACGAAACGTTGCCCAGAAAAGAGTGAAATATATAAATCGATGGAATTGATTGAAACACCGCCGAACACTCTAAAACGCCAGCGAGTTCGTAATCGTTTGTATGACCGTCTATGCAGAACGCAAAATTGCGTTTGTCCCAACTGTTGAGACGCTAAGTGCGTTTTTTTACAATAGTTTAGGTACAGAGCACCTAACCACTTGTAAAGAATGCGGCGATGAATAGTGAAACGCACAGACTACTCGGTGTCCCTATTAAAGAACATCTAGTCCGTAAACTTAAACTGTATATATTCGACTAGGCGACTGTAGGACACAAAGAAATGACGGCGAAGATTTTGAAAAAGGTACATCCTCGCACAAGAATCTAGAACGCTGGTCCAAAACCCTCGACTCATTCCATAAATTACAAAAATCCAAAAGTGAACCGCAAGGTGGAATGTTTCGTGATCACGCGTGACTTCGCAACATATCTGTAGCTCATTTTTAAACCTGAGTCAGGCACACTCCTCACCCATGTAAACATCTGTGCAACCGTTGTCCAATACTAACTGGAAGGCTAAAAAAGAACAAAACCGTGAGTGTTCGACGGAAGCTGTTTACTACGCAAATGAAATCTGTGTATTGAGTTTAACCCGATGGTGCTATGAAAATGTTTAACTGAGCAGATGCGTGACAGTTTGAGCTTTCCATGACTTGAAGAAGCCGAAACTGCTGAAACGTCAGCTGCTGTGAGTGAATAAGTGATGTAATAACAATCATGTATGTACTCATCAAGAAAACAGTGAACTACTGACCAATGCCGTGGTTAATAGAAAGTCGGTCCTGGGATTTGTTACAAAAGGTAGACTTTTGCTAAAATAATGTGTCTGATTTTACGAGGGTTTAAGACAATCAACAACAAATTACGTTTTTAATAAAACTAATGACAGAGCAAGAATTCGACTTGATGGATTATTCCAGGAAAATGATGCGCAGAACTACTGAGCACAACCAGGCTCGGTGGGAAGACCACGTAATCGAATCAGCTTAATTAAGATTTGCAAAAAAAGGACCTTTAGTGGTCCTATATCACCGTGATGGTTTGCAGGCAAGTACACGTAGATTGATTTAGACGTCTCGGCTCATTTTTATTTCAATAGATATCCATTTGTGTATGTATGTTCTTCAGAACAAATTATGCCGTAGTATTAAATGGAAGCACCCCGAGTCTTCACAGATATTTGATGGGTCAGCACGAAAATCTTTAGTTAAGAGCTCAGATATGTTATAATATATATAAATTGTTGGATGTATTTATGGCCACGATAACAACGTGAAGCTCGATGTTTCTTTCTGTGAAGCAACTCTTAACATAGACGAACCTCCTGTCCGTGGATTTGACCGCGGTCTCGTCGCATCGCTTGCCGTGCGTCTTCGTCAGTGGCGAATCCGATGAACGCATCGCCGTCATCTCCACCTACTATGTGCACAGCGCCGTCCGGAATCCGAAGACCATTGAAGAACGCTCGTACGTCGGCCGCATTCGCCGACAACGGTAACAATTGCAAACGAATTATCACCGACATATTGCTGCTGCACTTCTTCGTGTCTTATTTTAATCAGAACTCTTCAGAACGTCTGTATTCAATGCTCGTCACACTCTGAAATCAGATCTCCCGCTGATGTTTGGGTGCAGATTCATTATTGATTTACTACTTCATGACATCACCAAAATCCCTTCAATAACAAAAAACTTGAGAATTATATAAACGACGATGTAGGACGACATGTACGTGACGCATGTTTAAAAGATATCTATTGATTACATAAGCGAATACATAGATAAATACCCCACGATTGGAGGAACAGTGGCAACAACTACACGTTTATAATGAATGCCGCGAGTGCCCGACCGTGTTGATGACCACCAGAAGTAAGAAAATGGCACATTCCTTACGGTTGTTTGTGGAAATGGATAACGATGATTAACAAAAACAAACCGAAAGCGACGTACCAACGACGAGGTGATAGCGTCGAGCGTCGAACTCAGGCTCGGTCGATGCAGCCACAGTCGCGGTTGGCGTTGCGGTCGCGTCGCGTTATTGATTAGCGTGTCGCACGGTAGGTCCCGAGGGTGCCGGCGCGTCTGTTCTGGAATTTGAAAGGCTAGTTTTGCTGTTGACCCTGTGGTATCTTGGTCCGGTTCCATCATAGTTTCAAAGGTCTTTTTGGAACAGGTCAACATCAACGGTTGGTACCATTTCATACTGGGAAGTTGTTAGGCTTGAATCGGATATACACTAATTTTAGAAAAACTGTATAAAAACAGGCCTTTGTAACGTGTTTGTATCTCAGCAGATCATGGATAACCACAACGACGCTGAGATATTCGCAAAACTTGCACCCTAGGGCCAGATGGAGGCACGATTACCCTTAGCCGGGGCTCGCATGTTACCCACAGCACCACTGAAGTCCTCTCCTTCTCTTAGCTACTTTCCTACCTATCTAGACCATTAATATATGTGCAAAGACAGCACTACATTTTTGATATCAACATAAACACCAGTGCATCGCACCACAAGTTCTTACATATACCACTCAGCCTGATATGGGTCTGACCAGTAAGTAGGCTATTTCATAACTTGAGAGTAGGGAATTACATACTCAAGATCGTTGCTTCATCAACAATGTGTAAACCACGTATGGGTTACAACCTCGCACACTCAACCTGATCTATACAATGTGTCGTTCCATATCCAGTCCTCCGAATGACATCTAGAGCTTACTCCAGTGAAAAATTGGAAGAGAACTAAAGCACGCATTGTATGGAATGCGGGGAAACCTTATTAGAGCCACTACCAATTTACTTATCAAGAAGGTACAGTGCTTTGTACATTTAGAAAAATTGTTCAAATCTCTAACATTTTATACGTGAGAGATAAGTCATACACCCGATATCACCATTATTACCTTTCCTCCCTGATAGAACATTATTATATGGAACAAAAAGTTCACAAAAGAGAAAGAAAGAAGATAAGGAAAGAAAAAACGAATAGGGTAGTTAAACCACATTCAATAAGACATCAACATAACAAAGTATTTCAAGATCAACATTTATTCGACTCATTTATAGAATTTGTTAAAATTTGAAAGACTAACAAACATCATACTCTAACAACAGTGTAATTTCCCTCTTGTGTTCTTAACGTTCTACACAGTAAATAAAAACAGCCACAGACGTAGGATTTCGCACATGCACCCTTAATAGAGCGCTAGGAAAATAGAGATAACCATAATGGTGCTGAGATATTTGCAAAACTCCGGATCGCTAGTGTCTGCAGTGGGGACCGGACACGTTTTTACCCTTTCAGGGGCAAACGCGTTCACCACCACACTAGGCAATTCCTTCGTTTCGCATTTCACCAAGCCATGTTATTGATCTATAGGTGCTAACAACGATCACCTATAAATTGAGATATATGCTATGAAATCCCAAGCCACAAACACTTCAATATCTATTGGAGTATAGCTCACTGTTTCCCACTCTTCATTTTCTGACCGCGTCGAAGGTGTGTTTGTAGCATGACTTCTAAAATATGGCGTCATCTTTCGACCTAATTACACGTCGTTTAAGCAATCATTTCAATCCTAAGAAAGATAAGTTCTAAGCCAGTTTTCTTTTCCAGGTTAATAATATCTGTGCACAGAATTGTCCTAACCATCCTCTAGCGCTCCAATTGTCCCTGGCTCAACTATCTCCCCGATGTTTTGAATGGTTCTGCAATATCGATAACACAAAAATTGAAACCTATGGACTATGTTAGTAAGCGTTCCAGTAACATCGTAAGACTAACCGCAGTAGTGAGAGGAGATGCCGGTTGCTATGCATCATCCGAGCGCTACCTATCAGAACAAATTGTCGCTTTGCACGAGTTATCGCAACATTTAGTCGACGTTCATCTTGTAGGAATCCAATAGTTCCTGATAGATATAGGCTAAAGTAGTGGTAGATATAATAAAAAAGAATGGCAGCGACTTAAAATCTTATATCTAAATTTATGCCGAGATAAATTGCAGTTCAAAATTACGTATTTTTATGCCTATAAAAACACTCCGAACAGTTTACCGCTAAATCGTGGCCCGCAGGTGTACCTCGGTGTCGGATTGCAATGTACAGCGGTCGGATTCATCCCTCACCCATTGGGTCTTCCTAGCTGAGAAAAAGACCGGTGTATCCATCAGGAAGCCCAGCTAAGAGGAATACCAGGATCCACCACTGTCCTGGTTTCAAACTGGTCACATGGTGGCAAATTTCCCTCTGATCCACAAGGGCCGCGATTGCTTTTGGTGGTGACGACCTGGGACAAACTTTGGTCAGGCTGACCTCGGGAACCAGGGAAGCACAATGGCATGGCCAGCAAAACTCCGAAAACGTGGAAACTATGCTAGAGTCCGCACAACTAGTGAAGACCACGTCCACGTACCCAAGTAACCAAGCGTAAAAACACTAACTTTCAGGATTACATCGGACCATGCTGAACACAACGATTTCACGCTCCTGTCCTTGGAAAGAGTCCACCGTATTCACTGATATGTCATTGCAATCCATCATGTCACGAATCGCTGTAACCTGAAACTCTCGATAATAGACGATGAACAATACTAGAGTATAATGTCACAAACATCATTAGTGATATAGTCGTGATACAACAAACATTCCTGGCATCTCGCATGACCATGCACATAATATTCCTCAAATTACTAACCTGGGCATAATACGGAGAAATAACAGCGATTTCCTGGCCTGACACTCCTACTGATTTAAGAAACTTTAGGTAGCGGATCACTAACTCAGCCTCCCCTAGAAAAGCAGAAGCATTCTCACATAGATGAAATCCTTCGTATAACATAGGTACTAAATCTATTGCTCGCCTGGATTTTTGTACGACATCTGAAACAAAACTTCCTTGTAGAAGCGATCACCATGTCGCTTATCAAGATCAGTGTTTAACATCATTAGCGGGCTATTCATTTTTGACGTGTCCGCGATCAGAGATATATCACTATGTAGCAATATTTAAACAAGTTTAGAACCAATGCTTAGGTAAGAAATACACCCACCTTAAAGTTATTTTTGAAACCTCTTCACTCGCTACAAGACGAGAGTCATAGAACTCCTTCGAAGACCACTGCATGATCTTCTCATTCATTCTGTACTGAACAGTTAGTAACTGATTGATGTTCTGATTGGAAAACTCATTCACCAGTCTCTCCATTAAAGAAACCTGGAGATTTCCCTGACGAGCACTAAAACGTCCAAAGTTATTTTTATAATAAGAACCAAAAATTACAAGCCTTTAAAAGTAAATAACAAAAAAATACTACAAACATACGCAGGAGACAACACTGTACATGGAAGTTGCGCATGGTCGCCAGCCAAAATACAGCGTTTCGCTTGAGCTATAGCTGCCCAAGCGATGGGTTCTGATCCTTGCGCGGCTTCATCTGCAAAGCGAAGTTCTTTATTTTTCTTCAGCTAGTTTAATATACCAAAAAGATATAACGGTCATTCGATAATACTTACTTGCATGGCACGCGTTCACTGGCTGTGCTGGCTCTAGCATGATTTCCACTTTATCGAAGTTATGATGGTTTAGCCACTGTGGTTCCCTAGAGTAAGGAGGTCAGCCTAGCCAAAGCCTCGCACAGGTCGTCACCACTACAGGCAGTCGTCGCCTTTGCGGATCAGAGCGAGATTTGCCACCATGCGACTAGTTTGGGACCAGGACGGTGGTGGATTCTGGTACTGCTTCACTCTTAGCTGGGCTTCCTAATAGAAACGCCGGACTATTTCCAGATTGGGAGGCTCTGCTGAAGGTATGAATATGAATACATCGCAGCCGGAAACCCAGGAGTACTTCCTATCAAGCATGACGCGGTAAACCGTTTGGTGGGATTGGATAATAACAGAAACTATTACCAGGATCGATTTTCTAATAACCACGGCATAGCAATATGAACTCGTTGTTTTCTTGTTCAGCAATCGCGAGATTGTCATACAGCATACATTTACTTCCATAGAGAAACACACAATACAATACAACAGCAGCTGAGTTTTCGGTAGTATCGCCTTCTTCAGAACCTGGAAGGGTATACTGACATACAATTTACTAGGCCAAACGCTTCAATAACACTTACAAAAAGATGAAAAACTCTACAGTAATTACATGGTTAACAACTTCTCGAAACATTCACCACTTTTTTTCTTTACTTCCAATGAGGAAGGTTAGAATAACTGATTACAGTCGCACATGATTGATGACTGCACCACCCAGCATCAGAAATTGATGCGGACCGTTTATGTGAAACAACACAGTGCGTAATTTGCCCTTAGGACAGGGACTGTGACTGCATGAGTTCAGGTACGATATACCTGATCTCTTGCGGTAGTTGCTTAGACGAATACAAGAACACCTAGATGGCAAACGAAAAGCAAGACAAAGTACACCACTAGGCACGTATAGGATACAAAAGTATTGCGGAGACGATTTTTAAGTAAAAGTCAATGTCCTTGCACAGGAAACTAAAACACCAGCGCGACAACTTCTTGAGGCTTTTTGGATAAACACCAAAAACCCTACAATGAATACAGAGAGGAATGCCTTCCACAATAGCAGGTAGGAATGCCCAGAGGTCACATGCAACCTGACCCCGTATGTTAGCATCAATTTCTGATGTGGAGTGGAGTAATCAGCCATGTGCGACTATAATCAGCTGTTCTAACCTTCCTCATTGGAAGTCACGAAAAAAGTGGTGAATGTTTCGAGAAGTTGTTGATCATTTAATTACCATAGAGTTTTTCGTCTTTTTGTAAGTGTTACTGAAACGTTTGGCCTAATAAATTGTATGTCGGTATACCCTTCCAGGCTCTGAAGAAGGCGATACTGCCGAAACGTCAGCCACTGTTGTATTGTATTGTTTTTCTATGGAAATAAATGTATGTCGTATAACAGAAACTACCATGGAACGGCTTTGTTCTCATACCTATGATGATGACGTCTGGATGCCAGTTGACTTGGGAAAGTCGTTGAATAGCCGATGACGTCAAAGTACAAAAAACGACACGTCGTTTCTTGTAGGAATCCTGGTAGTTACAAGATTTATTGGTATTGAAAACCGAGAAAAATGTGAAAAGCGTCTTAACCTTTATGATTTTCCATTTCAGCTTATTCGCTTCAGCTTTTAGCGTCGCGCGTCCGACGTCTTCATCTGATTTGTTCTTAAAAATCATTTAAGCGAAGATTCCGGTGTCATTCATCTGTTCATATTATGAGGAAAACTTACTATTTTGCCAAACATATCACACAGCTCTGGATACATATCATGAGATGATATCGCCTCATCTATCGTCTCACCGCTAACAATCATATCTTGGAGGATACAACATAACTTCATTTGAAATATGCTCTCCTCAAAAACGATACCATAGTCACTTAGAGAAGATATTACCATTCATTTCAGATGTTGGATAGTCGTTACAGTGGACCCTAGCAAACAATTTCATAACTTCTGACATCACTTTATCAACTGCTACATTGGACGGAGCGCATACTAAAGTCTGAAATAATCTCGACGTATTGCTCGGTAGCTACGACTCTTGAACATCATAACTACTAGTGTTAATATATAAGGGAATAGATCAGAAATATACCTTTAATTTTCTGTTATAAAGCTGTTTGACGATTTCGGCAACTACTCGAGTTTTGCCAGTGCCTGGTGGCCCTTGGATAGTCACAAATGGACGCCTTTTATTCAGTGCAGCGCTAACCGCCCTACACTGGTTATTATTCAAGTCACTGGAGAGGCCCGTTATCATTCTATCTAAAAATTTGGAGCTTAACTCAAAATCCTCTATTACGTAGTACCACAATGAAACAGTCCTTACAAGATACCATTGTGGATTGACGGCATGATCTTCGCTCTGAACGCATATCCCAACAAATCTACACCAGCTGTGCCAACCACTTTATTCATCCTAAAATCGAGGGCGAATTACAAATTTGGGACAAGATAAGAAAACATTCTTCTCAAATCCTTCCAAATATCGGTGATATCTACTCATCAAAAGGCCTAAACTTCTTTTCCACTCAAGGATTCTGACTGCTTTCAGATAGTCTGCCGAGCAAAGGAGCTAATATCACGCAAAACATGTGGAATAAAGAAAAAGAAACTAACAAAAAAAAATCTTTCACGGAATGGAGTGCTCCACTTGACAGGGAAAGAGTAAGGATGTATTCTGTATCACAATTTAGCTGTGCTAGGGCACTTGAATGACGAACTTTGACCTTAAAGTCTGTGAAGGTAGAGAAACTTCTCAAAGAAAAATATAACCCAAAAATTGCACCTTCACGTCTTTCCGATCCGAAGCAAGTATCACACATTCTGCAACTTCCCTCAATGTTCTTGCATCTCGGATAGTAGCAGGTGTCCCTTAAATTATGACGTGTAATAGTAACTTCCCAGTGCCAATTAGTAAATAATGTGCAGTTAGCGCTGCTTTCAATATTTCTCAGTATTTAATGTAATGAAGAGAATGTGGACATTTGCTATTTAAGAACTCAACGCGTTTTTTTCGCAACATGTACCCCATGTTTTCCGCCACCTCACTACGGATACAGAGGGTTGTTTGTGGATATGGGTCAACTGTATACAATTGGCGATTCACCCCTCTGAAGGATCTGCAACGTTCAACATTTCAATCCGGAAACTGTAATACCAATTCTTCAACAGATTTTGGCCAGAATATAACTACCGAAAGCTTGTTAAGGTTTACTGCAACACTAGTTTTGGCTAGGATGAGAACGTCGAATTCTTCTGCAGCTTCTCAAGATATGTATATACATATATATATATATATATATATTTCGTAGACCGTCCTTCATAAGGGCGTGTGGAGCCCAGTGGTTAGACGCCCTGCAATATACATGGGATCGATCCCCGCGCCCCGAGATCACCTAGCCTTTCATTCCTCTGGGGAAGGCAAACTGTTAGCAGACTTGACTGATAGGATAGCAGCACTAACTCGATGCACCAGGTGGTCACCGCGAGTTATTGTAAGGGTCAGATATGCATTCAATCACCTCTAACGACGCTTAATGAAGTCGAATGCCGGGACGTGTCCTCCAGTGATTCATCAACGCCGAGTTTCGTCTTTTTAATACACGATCAGTCTTTCACGTCTACTGTGCGTATCCCAACATTTCCCACATTTGATTCGTTTTCTCGCATCCATCATCCATGAAGATACTCCAACTTTTACGAGTGGATTCGGCTGCTGCCTGAGAACTTTCGTTTCACCTTAATGCCGTAGAACGGTGGTCGAATCGATTCTCACTAGCGTCCTGAGATAGCCGGATGATTTCTTTTAGGACAAGTCGGGTACCACGTTCTCGAACCCGGAAAGATGATAGGCTTCCGCGCTCGTGATGATCGGCAACACTACCACTGTTCTATCCGCCAAAATATAGATACACATATATAAGTACATATACATACATATATATGCATATAGCCTAAATGCACTATATTTGTACGCATTTCCCTCGTACAAAAAGAAAATTGCAAATTGTACTGTTGAATTTACAAGCATAGCATTATCGAATGACCTCATTCCGTTACATCTTAAGAATAAACTGGGAAAACGCGACCTGTTGTCAATGTGTTAACTGTTATTAGCATTCGGGTGCTTAAAAGCCTTACCTGCACGAAACACCTTGGATCGACCGGATTCATGAGCAACAAAAACTCTCTTCAAAATAACTGTTCGCCCTGTTATCGGATGGAGTTCATCAGAGCAGAGTCTCAGACTAGCAATCAGTAGTCCTCTTTCTTCCAGTTCCGAAAGCTCATTGACCTCTTGCAACTGTTTCAGCTGAAACATCCGAGGTGGCGGGAACATCATGAAGGCAAATGCTTGGAAGAAAACTAGACAGTAAAGACTGAACGTACCTGAGACACGCTTTCATCAATCTCAGCCTGAAGTAGTTTCGGCCATATCTGCAGTTTCGCACGGAACTCTGGTGGATAGCCAGCCAGCGAATCCTTGCGCTTCTTCAGTTTCTCATGACGACCAATCGAAAATATCTAAACCACTAGTCAGTTTCGAAGGAACTCTGTAACAAAAACGAAAACGAAACTAGTAATTACCGATAATGAATTATGGAACCTTGCTTTAAAGAAATGAGTGAGCATAGAGACATTAGGCCAAGGGCCCACGCGGACAACCAGCATTACACATTAACGCTTTCCACCTACCAGAAATCGTCTAAGGTTAGTAGCTCTCCCTTATGACCCTAAACATAAAACTTTAACAAAATACGTGACTCTAGGTCTATACATGACCAACTACAACACCAAGTAGTCCCATTACTAAACCAGTGAAGTGAAATCGGTGATACTTCGATCGATTTGGATCGATGCAACAATGATCCTATATTACGAGGTTAGAAAAATCAACAAACTTTCAACAGTAACATTAAAAATAGCGGAAACTTTCTGAAAAATCAACAAAAGGCTCGAAAGAGAAAAGAATGCCGACCTATTGGGATGCTGGACTCCAAGCGAAAAAGTCCTAAAACACTTTCGCCACGAAATTTAACGTAAACAAAGTGCACGTTTTTAATACAGCTTAAAGTAGTAATAACACAATTACTAGTAAAGATGATTATAAACAAGACTTAAGTAAGCAAATTTGCGAAAATGATGACACGAGGAAGTTAGGCAGCCTGGAAAGTTGGACACGTTTAAAATTCGTGCGTAAATCTTTGATTTGCAGGTTACCTAGTCCGTTTTGCGCTGCTTTGGCGCTCAAAGTGGCCTAAAATTTGTGCGAGAGGGCTTCGTTTAGTTCGCTATTTCGTCCCCACTCTGTCCACTGTGTGGGAGGTATGCCTTGGTGCTTTGTTCTCTGTGCTTAGTTTTGTCGTACTATATATCGTCAGTCTTCAGGATGCTTGCTGTTTGCGATTACCAGAAACTCAGTACGACCGAGATCCAGAACGAATACAAGCGAATCCGGATGGCTTCAAAAATGGCGTGCCTTCAAGAAGGTTAAGTTGTATCCTAGTGAAGAAGCGGAATTGGAGGTGATTTTTACTACAGAAGTGTCCAGTTAAGCCATCCATTGAGGTGAAGGATATACAGGCCGATTAGGCGGGCGACTGATTGCTTTCTTTGGGGAATCAACAAACTCCGTCTGTTACTCATCTGGGTTTTGTTGTTTGAAGACTGTATTGCAAAGGAGAATAGTTTCAGGATGCTCAAGGAACTCACTGACTTGGAACTACTCCATGTTATGGGCTCTTCTAAGGTGAGTTATTGGACTGTTTGTACTCGTTTTTCGAGGCAATAATTTTGAGAATTCCATTTTCATGGGCATGAGGCGTAAGTTGTCCAAGCCATTGATATGGGTTGTACATCTTCTGCCGTAGCAGAGCAGCGGAGCCACTTGCCACTTGGTTATCTTGTAGTGGTTGTATCCGGTCTGACATGTCCTATATCATGGAGTTGTGTGGCGCTCCATGCCAAGGAGATGCCCGACTATTTTCGTATATTCCTAATCTCTCTGCAGCTCCGATGGAGCCGTGACAGATGAGACAAACCATACGAAAAATACTGTCGTTTTTATACGATGGAAGTTGTTCTAGCGGGAAGCAATTTCGGGAAGATTGGGGTTTTCAAGGTTTTGATAACATTGATGACATTAATTCATGTAAGTTATAGGTTCATCAAGAGAACCATTGAGGACAGAATCGTTCCTTAATTGATCTGAGCTGAGCAACGACGAGCAGTTGTGAGGGTTTCATCGTCACGCCGTACTCGCATTCGCGTGGTCCTGAGATTTTACATCCGCTCATTGTAGCTCAACTTGCTTAATGTGGTGCTTCCTATTCACTCTGTCTGTTTAAGGTTTTTATACAATAAAGAGTTGCTGTTGTGTTTATTTGTAGTGTGTATGGTGAGAGAAAATACGTGAATTAGAATTAAACAGGTCCACTAACAAGGGAAATAAGTTGCGGGAAATAGAATATGAATTAGAGTGAGTTCTTACAGTCGACTTGAGTTCCTGCGCAATGGCGATGGAGTTGTTGGTGCGAGCATGAGATATTATGTAGCTAGCGCCGAGATTCTCTTATCCACAACTAAGGCTGGGTGCGCTGAGTTCCGTGTATCTGTTTGTCAAGCTTGATGAAAGACTTGCGGTGTCTCATGTTGACTGGACGGTTGCACTTAGCATGGCTTCGCTTGTGCTGTTGTCTGGAGTGTACCTTATTCCTTAGCATAGTGGGAAATACCCTCAAGTGCTGTCCAGTACAGGGTCCATTCGTTGTATTGTATTGCCGTTTTCATTAGAGGTTGCTAGGTTTCGAGTGCGGTAGGGGAATGTGTCATATTCCGTTTTCAGCGTGTTCGATGATGCCTAGGTTGGGGTATTATTTCGTAGAAAAGGTTGTTCTACCAGGATGCTTATAAGCCTTCTCCAAGGGGAGTCGTCTGCACTTATGGTTTAGAAGAAGTTTCAGTAGGTGTAATCTTCACTTTGGTTCTGCATTGCTAGGTTAGGTTAGCCACCAGGATACATCCGGGGTAGCGTCTTATGACAGTGGGTCATTCTTGCGATTCTACCGCTCTCGTAGAAATGCATTTATGGCGTATGTTGGAGAACCCTACGACTACTTCGGACAAGATTGAGCTGCGAGATCGACTACTCCACCTCTGAGGCGGCTGGTCGTTTGATTTCATTGCAATATCGACTGTGGATTATTACACTGAAGTGTGCCAGTAAGTCATGTGGGACGTAAATTATCTTGTTACTAGTGTTCAGTTAGGTTTTCTAGGCGATGGTTTGTTGTCGTTTAGTGGTTTCTACGTAACCAGCCTCGGAACTGTGTCATGCTTTATTATATTTTAATCTGATGACTTCACCTCTAAAAATTTACTTCTTTCTTTTATTACACCAAGTAAGTTGGCTGCTCTAATGGGAGCCAACCCTTGGGGAGTCAACGCACGGCACCATTAAATCCATACCCAGCAAAGTCATGGTTAGCCCCAACGTCGTTGCTTGATCTGTCGACATCTTTTCCTATCACTTTTGTTTTCTTTCGGGACTTCTGCACGATTTCCTAGACGGACAGGATCGAATGTAAACGGTCGTTTTCTCTGATTTCCTTTTTCTCTCGTTCATATTTCCTCTATCGAGATTTTCCTGCTTGTATCCTATCATTTATCGCACTATGACGAATACATTCGTTATAATATCACTTCACTATTATGTGATTCTCCGCTCTAATTAATCTAATTAGCATGCAAAAGGAGATTTTTGCTAATTCCAGTATACTAGTATGCCTTCTCAATTCATTTTTCCTTTGTCCTCTTTATCCCTAAGAGGGCGCGTGTAGCTCAGTAGTCGTAGGAGCTCGGCCCTACCCATGGGTTCGATCCCGCACCCAGGCTAACGAAGACTTCCATCCCTTTGGAGTCGGCAAATTGGTGCCAGACCAGTCTCGGAGTGTAGCAGCTAATTCTAACTGACTCGATACATAGGCAGGCCACAGTGAGTCATTGTATTGGCAAAATGTGCGCTCAATCATCTCCAATGAGGCTATGAATTGAGTCCAATGCATAGTGTACGCCTCTGAGACTGTTCATTCAACGCCGAGAGCTTTTCTTTTATACTCTTTCTACGTAAATGAAGGCGTGAATCAGCAATAATTTCATAAGAACTTCACCTCCTTAAATTATTTTTTATGGCAGGCTGTTATGCAAAATACAACCACAATGTTGCCGAGATATTTGCAGAACTCCGGACCACAGGTATCTGCGGAGGGGAACGAACGTGATATTACCCTTTCCAGGGGTTAACGCGTCCACCATCACACCATGCCGGTCCTTCGTTTCGCCTGTCTCTCAGCTATTAGTCCCGTTGACAGGTGATTGTTGATGGCACTAATCGATAGAACTGGTTGAGAGATAGGTGAAACGAAGGACTCGCGTGGTGTAGTGGTGAGCGCCTTAGCCCCCGGAAAGGGTAATAGCGCGTTCGTTCCCCACCGCAGACACCTGTGGTTCGGATTTTTGCAATTATCTCAGCACCATTGTAGTTGTACTCTAATTACTCTAATCTAATCTTTCTCCTCTTTACTTTCTCTGTACTCTAATTTTTTTCATCGATTTTCACTACCTATTGGAGTTACAGCTATTTCTTGACTCAATGAATCTTAAGCTTTTTGTGAATTTCTTGGAAGCTTTTTGTCATTTTATATTTCTCCAACGTAATTCGCACGACTACCCGTTCTGCTTGTGTATTCGTTCTCTTACACTTCGCAAAAGTTTATGTACGCCGTATCCGAACTCAGTTACGAACTACCTGACGATGTAGAGTGTTCTGTGGGCGTCAGTTTATAGCCATACTTCGTGAGCAAACAAAGAGCGAGTTGGATAGGGCCGTTTTATTGCGAGGCGTATCGCTTAGAGGCGTTGTTTTTGTTCTAAACCTATCTTGAGCGTTTACTGGTTCCTAGCTGTTGAAAATGGCCGCTTTCCTTATCAAGTTGAGTGAAACCTCCCTTCGTTCGTTTCCTCTCGTACATACATGGGTACCCGTTCGAAACATGTGACTATGTGTGGTTCTATTAGTTGGATTTCGGTACGCCTTGGTGATGTGGTTGATTTCGGATACGTTAATCTGAAGGACCCGCGTGGTGTGGTGGTGAACGCGCTACTCCTCGGAAAGGACAATAGCGCGTTCGTTCTCCACCATAGACACCTGCGGTCCAGAGTTTTGCAAATATCTCAGCATCATTGAAGTTATATTTCACAACGTATACACTGCCGTTAAAAAGAGTAGGCAGTAAATAATAAGTTAAAATTGTAGTTAATCTGAATGTTAAGAGATGGTAGCCAGTTTCCTTTCGGTTGCTCTTGGGTGAATGTTATGTACTCTAATTGTCCATTCAATAGCTCAAAACTATTGTCCATCTCTTCTTGCGTGTAGCAGATGATCAAATAATCAGCGATCTATCAACATAGATTAGTGGCAGGAGGACGAGTACTGCGGCCTTCAATCTAAACGTGAGGGCAATGGCAAGGCCTGATACCACTCGTTGTCACATTGTCAACGTTCCCATTTGTGTGATATACTTCCCGAATCATCGAAAGATTCAGCAATTTAGGAACTCCTTTAATAGGACCATAGTATGCGGAATGGAAAGCCCACATATGTTTATTGCTCCTTTGTGTTGCATAACGAGTACGGGGATTGCTGGCACTGCTGAGTCATCCTACATGTTTGTGTAAAGTGCCGTAACATCAAAGGCTTCCATTTCGTACGTTCTGGTAGATTACGCATTGCGTTGACTACCCTGGAACATAGTGATGCTAAAACATTTGCAAAAAGTCCGGGCCGTAGATGTCTACGGTGGGGATAGAACTTGCTATAACCCTTTCCGTGGCTAACCCGTTCACCACCACACCATGC